CAGTACAGTGCCCAGCTTTTCTTCCTGTCGGGGAAAAATAAGAATATAACAGGACAACACGCATCACAGAATTTTTTTTGTTTTGTTTTATTTGAGGTAATCAGATGTCACAAGAATAACTGAAATACATCTGTGAGTAATAATGTACTGGCCACTGTTTAGTTTGGGGTAAATACTCATCAGCTGCTTTGTTTGTTGCCTGCCACACATTTTTCAGGAATGTCCATGAATCAGACTGTGTGTGTCAGAGGAAGAACAAGAATGAGTGTGTCTAATGTTGGGTTTGTTTTATTCAGCTGTTCACACACTTTCTCAAATACCTGTAAGTGGTAGAGCTGCCACACAAGATAGGCGTGTAGTGCCAGCATGAGAAATTTGGTTGTATAGAAGCCTATTGGAGGGGGGACAAACCCATGCCCCCCTTACTTTATGACATTGGTAAATACTTTCCTAATGGCCTCAGTCACTGAATATACCTCTCTTTAAATTAGTCTCTCTAATTTTCTCGAAGCAACTACTCTGAGATTCTCGCAGCCTTTGTCCCAACCAGTATGAACAAGAGAATATGCGTATACGAACATGCAGTTAGGAGGAAAGGAACCACTTGAGAACAGAAGCATGCCACATCAGCTCTCAGATACGGTGGAAGCAAAGTTACTAGTGTTTGTGACAATGTATATACCAAAGTATATTGCAAAAACAACCAAAGAATTTCTCATTGCAAAACAATCTTCATTGACCAAGTCAGTCATCTGTTCTCAGCCAGGAGCACATGCTTTTCAGTTACTGAACATAAAACCGAAGGCAAAGATACCCATAAACGAACACCAACTGAAGATAGCCTGACTGAACATCCAAACACTTATGTCCATGGAGTCTAGACTTAAGGAAGTCATCGGCCGCTAAGGACTTTTATCCAACTATTGGAAACGGTCCCCATATTTAAAATTGTAGTCAATTTTTTAATCACAGCTGAGACTCTGTAAACAGGTATGAATTTATAATACTGTAGGTTGGGATGTGTCTTTGTGTGAATTTTCAAAAAGTTGTGAAGCACTTTGTATGCTATTTACATGCTGTATGTCTGTGAGGCGATTAGAGGATCATCAGGGGGTCCTTTTGTCCCTCTGTGGGGGGTTACTCCCACTAGGTTTATATCTGGGACTCTCCACCATTTGACCTTAGAACTGAAGAAGCTTCTCGGATGAGAGGTGAAACGTCTTCAAGCAACTTAAAGAAGTCCAGACGCTTTTCTTTGCAAGCTCCTTTGACTTTACATGCTGTAATAATAATAATAATAATAATAATAATAATTAATAATTACATGCCTATAAATACTATGAGGGTGTTCAGCACTATGAGTGTGGTAAATGCAGGTCTGAGCCTATGACTGTGTGGCGTGTATGTGGAGGTGACTTTTCTCTTTTCCAAGGGTTATAGAAACAGCGTGTTCATCATTTATCAGAAGAATATCAGAGAATCAAGAAGGCAGCTGCTGATGGAAAAATGAGTCACTGCTCCACAGTCTGTCTCTCTCGAGGAACACAGCTTTCAGTTAAAACAATTTTCGCTGTATGTAGTTGCTGTTTGTGTATCCAGTCAGTCAAGTTGAGCACTGTTGTGTTGAATGAAATGCTGAGGGGAAGTTGGCCCTTTTCATTCAGACTCGCTGGGTTGCATTGATGTGGAACTGTTTTCGTTCTGTGCAGTGGTGAGAAAATAGACAGAACATAAACTGTCCTTAGAAAGGCGGTCAGTGGTCTGTAATGTTGAATTTGGATTTGCTTTAAGTTAGCATGTTGCCTTTATTGGAATGGAAGATGCTTGAAAATTTTTTTTTATTTATTTATTTATTTTTAGAAGCTTTCCAAATAGGATGGATGCTCATTAGCTGCTTATTTAGGTCATGTGAGGTCCCTCTGAGGTCCCATCTCAGCCTAGCCTTTTGGTTTTGCTCCCTTAGGTTTAGTAAATGCTGTACAAATGATTTTCAGATTAATGTGCTGCTGGGAAACAAAACCATGGCTTTAAAGGGCTTACTGGACGGCCTGAAAGATACTAATATGGATCTCCTTAAAACCCTTTCCGAAGAACCTGGGAGTGATCTTTTAACACTTTTGAAGGCGAAGGAGTTCCTTTTCAGAAATTTAAAAAGTTGTTAATTAGTAGTCATCAGAGAACATGTGAACTATCCTGCAGTCAAGTTCAGTTATTATCTGTGCCGGATAAACAAACAAATAAAAAGCCCATTGACCAAGAAAATTGTTGTTTTTGGATATCCTTTAAGTCTTTGAAAGGTCAAAAATAATTCAGGAAATATGTGAAGTGGAACAAATACCCTCCTCTCTGAGAATTTCAAACAATAAAAACCAGAAAACATTGGGGAAATGGACATCCAACTTTGAGACTGTGGACTTTCACTTATTTTTATTATCTTATTTTTATTCATTTGTTTGTTGAACTCTGCTCACTATATTTACATATGCTTTTTTCTTTTTCTTTTTTTTATGGAACAAATCTCTGGAGTAATCTGCCCACAGATGTGACTCATAAGGTCTTTTTTTTTTTTTTTTTTTAAGTATAATGGACAATGGATGAAAGAACTGCTGACCTTTATGCTGTAATGTAATATATTCCTTTTAGTTTTTTCTACCTTTATTTTTATTTTTTTATTTTTTTTATATTACTCATTCTTATTTTGGTTGTTTTATGCTCCTATTGTTTAAATGTTTGTTATTTACACACAAACTCAGATGCATTGTAGCATCTCTCTGTCACAAATTTAGATTCAAAATCCAAAACAATCAAAAATACAGTTGGCTTTTGGCTTGCAGGGGAAAAAAACCATTTTTAAAGCGATTGCTGATGAATATTTTCTATTTACTATCAGTGTGGGTTACTTTTAATTTGATACATGTGTGCAAAAGCAGTTAGGCAATACTAACAATGTATCATTTCATAATGCACCCAAAACAGCATATTATTGCTAAGGAAGTAAAAATTTAAAGCACCAAATAAAGAAAACAAAAGATACTCCATACAGGTTTTTTGTTTGTTTGTTTAAATTGCTCAGGTCCAGATTCCCTCATGAATTTATGGTATCCCCTACATTAGATACATTTTTATTTTTTAATTTTGAAACTAGATTTCATATTTTTAATTTTGTTTTATGGTTCATCTTTCGGATTAATTCATTACCAGTGGCTGTGTCGTGATGATAAGGGGATAAAAATAAGCTGGTATTGACTGATTATGACACATTTCTTTTATAGTTCATACTTCCTTAAAATAAGTGCAGCCAAATGACTTATATCTCAGTGAGGAAAAAGAAAAAAAAAAACTGGTAAATGGCAAATTATGGAAATTTTGAATGCACTTTTTTTTTTGACACCTAATCTGTGAGTGCTCACACGTCACATCATCTGCATCATGTGTGAAAAATCAGTGCTGATGCAAACAACAGACTTCCTGGCAGCTCATGACTACTTGTCTCATTTCATGCAAAAACACAGTGACTTGCTGTGTGACGCAGCCTTTTACCATCCATGCGCCGTTTATGATGGCTTGATTTGTTTTGCAACAGCACTGTGACTAATGTTTCCATAGAGGTGACAAGTTTGAAAATGCTGTTGCTGAGGGGAGGAAGGACAGACAGCATGCCACCATATCCTGAATCCCATCCGGTTGTTCAGTCTGACGTCACTAGCCGTGTCTGGGCCTAAACTCCGCTGCAGGTCCATATATCAAACGATCACTATGGCATTACTGAGAGTTGAAAAACTGTCTAAAGTCTTTCATCTTTAATAAAATGATCAGCGTTCTGCTCTACCAGGTGTAACAGTTGAGTTTAACATCCAGGCATCCATGAAAACGGAATTTATGACATTTAAAGGAGTTAGAAGTTAGCTCGCTAGCTTCTATCTAAATACAATATAGCATGTCCTGACTGCGGGGTTTTGGAAACAAATTAAAACGTACAGCTCTGCTATCACTTCCAACATAAATGAAGACAGAAAACTAAACAGCAGTGACGTTTGTAGGGTTACTGAAGTTGGGCTAGCTGGTATATAATGATGTGCTACGTGACCGCTAGCGACACAGCTATGTTAGCATAATATAAACAAGCTAACTTTTTTCCCACTCGATAAAAGTTAACGTGAGTGTTCTCGGTGGTCAGGAACAAATGTAATCGCATGGCAGGATGCTGTAAAAGGACCAAACTTCAGCCAGAGAACAACTGAGATAATCCATCCACAATAGAGATTGACAGACCACGTGACTTTCGTGCATTGCATGCCGGGAACTCGTGGCAAAACAATCAAAGTACCGCATCAAATGCAAGCATTTGCAGCACCGCAAAACGTTCATTCTTCGGTTCCAATAAATTCTTGCTTTTTCTTTGCCCCCCAAAAAGGTATGTACAAAACGAAGGAGAACAATGCCGGTCCGTACAAAGACAGACTTGATGAAAAGCCAAAGAAAAGATACGAGGGTAAAAATCAAACCAGTGAGGTTAGTCATTCATATACTGCTGCATGGGCTGGGCTGTAGTTACATCCTAAGGTTTTAAAAACTGAGCTTAAATAAATGATTAGCGGTAATAAAAGCCGAGGGAGGTCAACAGGGATCACTGACTGTTTTAGGAGCTTTTTGAGATCAAATAGAAGAAAATACAAAACATTAAACATGTTAACAACACAAAAGCCATATTAAAAAAACACAGACTACTTTAGACCCGGAAGTAGGATTCGTCGCGTCATCACTGAACAACCGGATTGTTAATCCTCCAGATAATCATTTGACCCCCTCGAACTGCTTCAAAGCACATTAGTGCCTTTGCTGTACATTTGTTGATTTTGATTTATTTAACAGTGCAGTGTCATTGTGGTTTCATAACACCTTCCTGCAAAGCATTTCCACTGTGTTGTGGAGGGTTTTTTTTATATATCTCTTAGAGCTTATTATTAATGTTTTGGGGGTTTTTTTCTCTTTTTTTGCAGGACTCCATGAATGCGCTGGTCTTAGACTTGGGCTACCCTGCACTACGAAAGAACAAAAACATTGAGACCTTCTTAAACAGATGTGAGTAGCTTAATGAGAGATGATTATCTAGAAGGTGAACAGCTCAATTATTCAGAAAAGGCTGATTATCAAAACCAGTCAAATCATCACTTTATGTAAAAGGTTTGGTATAAAATACTGCCTCTTTGCTGTATTAATCAATAAATGCCTTCCTAATGAGTTTGTTCTTGATTGCTACTTTCAAAGGTTATTTAACATAAGATTATGTTCATTTTGTAAATTCTAGTAGTCATTAGAGTACTATTGTCTATGAAACTCGTTAGACAGAGAATAGTAAAACTGGATATACTTCACAGGGTCTATCATTTTATGGACCAGTCATCATCATGTGAATCGATGGGTGATAAAACCGTGGCTATATCTATCTTTATATATGTCTTCTGGGAAGTCTGAGCATCTCAGCTTAAATTGTTGGAACATTACCTGGATAAGTAGTAGAAAATGGATGGATAAATATATAGAGGATGTTCACTTAAATAATTGCGTTGTATTTACAACACTAATGCACGTTCATTTCCTCTGTCCTGTCAATAAACTTTTGCTTCAGATGAGAAAGTCATTGGCCAGATTCGAGATCTGCAGATGAAGTCTGAAGACTTTGACAGAGTTAAAGTGATTGGCCGAGGAGCATTTGGTGAAGTGCAACTGGTAAGTACTGATCATATGAACAGGTAACACTGTTTTTGTTTTTATAGTTGCTTTGTAAAAGCAACTATAAAAAAAACAAGTGGTATAGTCGTCCATCAAGGATCCATCATACCATCAAAACGATTCTAACTTTGGAGAAGTGCATGTCAAAAGTATCTACTACTTGTATTGCCACAGTCATGGTTAGCACTGTTACCTGATAGCATGAATGTTCATGGTTTGAATCTCCTGCATAGTTGAATAGTTCTGTGTGGAGTTTAAATGTTCTCCCTTAGCCTATTACCTCAAGTACCCTGGCTTCCTCCCACAGTCCAAAGAAGTACATGTTATGTTTATTTGTGATTCTACATTGGCTGTGGATGTGAGGCAGATACAAGTGCTCGAAGTGCATGAATGTGCGGTTAATTGTGACTTGTATTCTAAAAGACTTTGAGTGGTTAGTAAGATCAGAAAAGAGCTTTTTAAATGCCTGTTCACTTCCATAATCCTTTTCTCTGCATGACGAGGTTTGCTGTGCAAACTGACACCGTAAACCAGTCATCTACCTCAGCTGCTTATGCTGAAGGGAGAGTGGACGGTGAAAAGATGAACACTTAGAACCAACAACCAAAAACACAAATTATGTTCTGTAGTGGTGTCATATGAATACACGGAGAGGCAATGGGTTCCCTCTACAGCTTGAGCCTATATCAGCATAACCAAAGGATGTTTCAGGGTCACATGATGCAGCCCTACACATAAGCTTTATCAAAAAGGAAAGCTGAGTCTTTAAAGTAGAGGGCATGCCTGTATCCTGAACTCGCACATTGAGCCGGTTCCACAAGAGAAACCTGATACTTGAGGCCTCTGCCCCCATTTTACTTTTGAAAACTCTACAAACCACAACTAAGCATGCACTCTGGGAATAAAAAAAAAAAAAAAAAAAAAAAGAGTCTACATTAATTGTATTGTAATCTGAAAGTGGCACATGTACTCATGAATTATCTGTTGTGATTTTAATTTTATCTTTTCTTGTACATTTCATCAAACTTTTCTCATAGAGTAAGATTAGACTTTGTGGAGAATCTCTAAACTTTATCTTCCTGTTGTTCAGGTCAGACATAAAGCCTCACAGAAGGTCTACGCAATGAAGCTGCTCAGCAAATTTGAGATGATAAAACGCTCAGACTCAGCATTCTTCTGGGAAGAGAGAGATATCATGGCTTTTTCCAACAGTCCCTGGGTTGTGCAGGTACAGCATTTAAGTTGCTGATCAGCTTTTAAAAAGCTTTCGTGTGCATTAATTGGAATATTCACTGGGAACGTGTTGCCAGTTGGATTACTTTGGATCCTTTGTTTTACTTAGAACAAAGAAATACATTTTCTGCAAAATATGTGTTTTATATGTTAATTTATTAAACCTCAAAATTGTTTTTAGTTGTGCTCTGCCTTCCAAGATGACCACTACCTCTACATGGTGATGGAGTACATGCCAGGAGGCGACCTGGTTAACCTCACCAGCACCTATGATGTACCGGAGAAGTGGGCCAAGTTCTACACAGCGGAGGTGGTGATGGCCCTGGACGCCATTCACTCCATGGGCTTCATTCACCGCGATGTGAAGCCAGACAACATGCTGCTGGACAGACTCGGACACCTGAAGCTGGCTGACTTTGGCACTTGCATGAAAATGGACTCTGTGAGTAAAAGTGTAAAACCTGAGTCTCTGCTGCCAGCAGAGTTTCCTACCAGGTTACAAACACAACAAATGCCAAACTAGAAATGCTTCAGTTTAGACAAGTAACCTCTAGATATGGCCTGAGGCTTATTGCATATGATGGAAACAAGTAACGATTAAGTAGTGTAACTACAAGGGTACCTGGATGGGGCGTGCGTCAGACAGCACAAATGAAGCTCACTTTCTGCTCCATCATACTATCACCTGCCCTTTTCTTAAGTGGAGACATTACAGCAGCTTTGCTCAGAGAGCTGGCAGGTTAAAGTCCGCTGCGACTGCATTGAACATTTTTGTTCTCACATGTGGCTCCGTGGGTGAAGCCGTGAAAGGCCCAGGGCTGCATTTGGTGCAGCTTTTTAATGATTCTGAGATGCTTATAATGATGTAGTGAAGCCCAGTTAATAAATGTTTTTTTTTGTGCATAAACCAGTATATTAGAGCAGACTATTTTGGCAAAGATAAGAGTTGGATTTATTTTGTTTTGGTTTGGTTTGGTTTTTTAGGCCCATACTTTATTTCAAAGAGGAGCTGTTGATGACTTCTCTTTTTAATGTGGTGTTGCAGTGGTAGATTATCATCATTAAAATGCTTGAAAATACTGATGTCAGTGTATGAGATGGATAGATGCTGTGCTGACACTTGGAGTAGGATAATGAATAATAATAATACAGTTTATAATAAAAAGACAGTCAAAGTGCTATAGACGCATAGTTGAGGGCTTTGTATTGTGAGAGTGCAAAAGCGTTATATATAAAACACTAATAAAAAATCCAAAGAGAAGAAATAAAGCTAAACCTCAGACTTTGGATTGCTATAAATGTTTAGCTTCAGCAGTTTTCTTTTCTTCTTCTCTCTACTCTCTATGATGTCTGTGAAAACAATATTTTTATGTGATCATCTCAGGGACCCCCTGCTGTCCAAACTGTTTCTTTGGCTGAAGAAAGTTGGCTTAAAGAGAGAGGGGAAGGGGTTAAAATGGCTTGATTTAGCTACTCTAGTGTAGTCCAAGAATAAAAATATAACAAGTCCACTTTAATAACTAAGCTGTTACAGTGAGCTCTGCTTCTGCCTTCACCTGGAAGGGTTAGTTTTTAGTAGTCTCTTAAGTTTGGATCAACACTCTGCTTTAGCTTATGCCCATATAAATCAAACCATACCTGTAGGGTACTAAACATATAATGATCTCTGGATTTATGTTGCAGACCGGCATGGTGCACTGTGACACAGCTGTTGGGACTCCAGACTACATCTCGCCAGAAGTGCTAAAATCCCAGGGAGGAGATGGCTATTATGGGAGAGAATGCGACTGGTGGTCCGTAGGGGTCTTCATTTACGAGTTGCTCGTCGGTCGGTGAACATTTCATAAAATAATTTAACTCGTATGTGTTGATGTTTATGTCTCTCAATTTATTTCAGTGTTGCTTGCTCACTTTTAGGTGACACGCCGTTCTACGCAGACTCTTTGGTGGGAACATACAGTAAAATCATGGACCACAAGAACTCCCTCAATTTTCCAGATGATGTGGAGATCTCCAACAATGCCAAGAATATCATCTGTGCCTTCCTGACTGACAGGTATGATCTTACAAGAAGAAGATGTCAGGGGGTTTGACAGTTTGGAAGATGCACCTGTGTATTTTCTTGCAGAGAGTAACAGGGGGAACCTCAATAGCACTCTTATGTTATCTCTCAAACTCTTCCTCTTATACACAACTGTCCATCTCCATCAGTCTGTCAACCCACAAACCACTTTGTCTTACATGGGGATGTTTTTTATATATATATATATCTAAGCTGTAGTTTCTTCACGCTGGTCCCAGACGTAAGCACAAGGTTTCTTTTTTTGTGTGGCAATACTTAGAGATTACATAATATGTTGATAGAACAGCACACTTATGCTTATCTGTGTGTTTGTCTCTTAATATTTAAGGTTATAAAGGTTTGTATGACTTAGTTGATTTATTCCCAGTCACCTCTAATTAAGGACAAAGGTCCAATTCAATCAACTCATTGTCTGCTTTTGTTTTGAGGGAGGTGCGATTAGGCAGAAACGGCGTGGAGGAAATCAAGCGACATCCTTTCTTCAAAAATGACCAGTGGACCTTTGACACCATCAGAGACAGTTAGTATACAACCTTTGTTCTGCTACCTATGATCATTCATTATGATACATGTTTTGGTTTTTTCTCAATATGAAATGTATTTCGTTTAGCACCATGTGTTTGGTGGTTGGGTAAGTGCATGCGCAGATCACATGGGTATTTTTATTTGCAAAGTACTTGTACAGAGCAGAACTAGACCTCCACCTCCTGCAGGTTCTGGCTTGCTGCAGATGTCCAGAGCAGGAGGACTGCTGTCACCAGCAGCAAGTCCAAGACTGTTGAGTTTGAGTCTGTCTGCAAGAAAAAGCAGCTTGATTGCATCAAAGGCTGCCATGACAATGAACTGCCCAGCGTGCCGGCCGTTGGGAAGTGAGAGGCTAGATGGTTAACAGCGACTGAACTTCTAAAATAAGAGCAAGTGGATTTTCCACTACTAAATTGAAGAACAGTAGAAATGAACGTAGAATATACTGTAGATGAGTGCTCAGCTTCCAGCAAAGCCCATTGTGCACTTTCCAAAACAATTTCAAAAACCATTACATTTAAATTCTGCACAATGCTTTATTTTGTTCTCCTACATCTAAAATCAAATTTCACCTTTCCTTCCACTTTACTCTGTGTGCAGAGTAACACCTCTGAGTTGTTTATCTTGTGGATATCCCTTTTGGGCACAGCAGATTTTGTCTTTCTTTGGCCATACCTGCCAGAAATGCACCAAGCATACAAAATTATCATTCCTAAGTGTAATTCAGGAGAAAGTCAGAATTTGTGACCAAATATAGAACGCAGCTCCTGCAGATGAGTAATTTTTTTTGTTGTTGTTGTTGTTGTCCTGTCAGATGTCTTAAATTTTATCAGATGTACTCCAATTTTTTTCTGGCATGCTCTACTTCAGAAGCCAAAAACGGTCACACCCTCAACTCAGTTTTTATCAATCAAACAACATTAAAAAATATCAAAATTAGATTTAAATGAAATATAATTCAGCATAACAGCACCTGCAAACCTTTTCTTTAATCTTGATCGTCTTTAATCTAAAACTTTAGCAGGAATTCCTTCAGAACAGCAGCTGGATCAGAGAGCACATTAAAATGATTTATTAGACTGACATATTTTTTACACAGTGCTTCCTTTTTCCACCAATTCACTCTCACCTTTTTCCTGTCTCTCTCTTTATCTCTCTCTCACCTCAGCGGTTGCCCCTGTGGTCCCAGAGCTGAGCAGTGACATAGACACCAGCAACTTTGATGAGATAGAAGACGACAAAGGCGATGTAGAAACCTTCCCCACACCTAAGGCATTTGTCGGCAATCAGTTACCCTTTGTTGGCTTCACCTACTTCAAAGAAGACCAGTAAATCATCCCATTCTCTTCATTTCCCATGATTTTAAGGACCTCCGTGGTTCCACGAAGACAATTTATAGATTTATTTTTGGCTCTAGTGTCCTTGACCTTGGACTGATTTTATTCATTTCCTCCTTCAGGTTATTAAATGCTTCCAACAACTCAGTGGCTCATGAGAATTCAAAAGGGGAGGTAAGTACTTTGACTCCCACACGCAGTAACTGCCAGGTGCACCTTTAGCGACTGCATTAATACCGGACCGAGCTCCTCAGGAAATAAATAAGTCTGGTATCAGTTTACATGACCACACAGAAAAGGCCTGTTGACATTGTGATCAACTTCACATTGTAAAACATCAAGGATTATGATGGAAATGATTCACAGGGGGATTTCTTCCCTGATCCCATGATTTATTTGTACTTTGTTCGAATTTCAGTGTTCTCAGCCGCACACAGAGACTTAAGCAGCTGTCAGTATAAGTGGCTGAGCCGAACGCTAATCTGAAGAACTCTTATTGACTTCAGTCCTAAAAGACTGCCCCCATTACGAGGAACAAAACAAACCCTATGTTTTACTTTCACTTTGTTTCTAATCAGTTGCCTAAATATAGGTGATTAAAGGTATAGTAAGCTGTATTTCAATACTGACCTTTAAGTGACTAATGTGGTGGTTTAAGGTTGTTGTGATACTTCTAATTGTAAAAATGTTTATAGTCCTAAAAGACTGCCCCTAAAAACTGTACACCATTAACCATGAAAATAGTTTCTGTGCTATTTTGACCAAGGACAACAACATTCAAAACATGGTTGAAGGGTGTTTCTTTCATCTTTTCTTGACTTTTTAATTTAGTTCCTATAAAGGAGCATCAGGCGTTCTGCCAGTGCTCAGACAGTGTGCGTGTCACTGCAAAGTCTAGCTAGCTATTGGTGTTACATGTCTTCTTACCCTGTGTGTGTTAAATTCTGACTTTAGTGTATAGCGCATAAATTGGACGTCTTTCTTTCTTTCTCTTCTTAGTCAGCAGCACTGCAGAAGAAACTTCGCCACCTAGAGATGCAGATGAATAATGACAAGCAAGTCAAAGATGATCTAGAGCAAAAATACAGGTGGGTGATCTGTAGGGAACATTGTGTATCAGGAATAAGAGCCGCATCATGTTGCTCCACTTATTTGCTTATGCATGGTGGCCAAATTATTATTTTTAAGCATTTGTATTTTTCTGCAGGGCCACCACCACTCGTCTGGAAAAGCTCTCCAAAGAACTTGAGGAAGAGGTCAGTTAATCACAGGGAACATCCAATTACCTGAATATTTCTGTGTCTGTCCGGCGTCAATATCTGCTGGTTCACGACCCCTCTGGGATTTTAGAAGTTCTTTCTTCCTCACGCATTTTAATGGGCGTTTCCCAAAAACTCTATTATTTGAGCCAGAATAATGATTCTTATTATCCACACTTGTCCACTTTCCGGTTGAATACCAGCGTCTCGTATCCAGGGAGGTTCAGCTGGAGCGCCTGCTGAATTCTAACGGCCACATTAAAATGTCTATTGTGATTGAATTTGTGTTGAGGCCCATTTGGATTCTGGGGATAATTTCTCATAAAGTGAATTATGGAATCACAGTAGCATGAAACCATCCCCGCAGGAGATGTTGAACAAAGGCGTTTATGATTGATTTTTAGGTGAGCAGCAGAAAGAACCTGGAGTCGAGTCTGAGGCAGCTGGAGAGGGAGAAGGCTCTGCTGCAGCACAAAAGCCTGGAGAGCCACCGCAAGGCTGAGAGCGAGGCCGACAGGAAGCGCTGTCTGGAGAACGAAGGTGACACGAGACACACTGGATTCTGCAGCAGAGCTGAAAAGATTTACTTCTTTTGTACAGGAAGTTAAACACCAGTTATCAACTGGAAATGATTACATTTCACAGAAAAATATATTTTCTAGTAAGAGACGTTTCTCTTAGGAGATAACTTTTAAAGCTTTTTAACTAGCTTTTAAGTAAAAAAAAAAAAAATACAGCGGCACACATTCTCTGTTTATTTGTGTAACATCCTTCATGCAGGTTAGCTTTGTTTAAGGTGATCGATTACATGAACTGAAAAGACAAAACATAATACTTCTATCATGAGTGAGAAAAATGAGGCTGATTTAAATGCATTTGTTTTAAGAAACAGATTCAAACTTGACAGCAGTGATGCATTAAAGCAAGAGAATAAAATGAACACAGGAATCCAGTAAAAATCAACCCCCCTCTTCTTGTGTAAAGTCAGAAACTTCTTACGTTTTCTTTTGGCTTTGCAATGATATAAATTCATGGTGACTTTACTGAGATAAAGTGGGTAATACTGCCATCACCTGGACAAAGACACTGATACAAACACATCAGGTCTACTCTCTCCTGTGCTCTGGCTTTCTTTGTAATATTCATATTGTATAACTTTTGGTTCCAGCGTCTTTATTAAACCAAACTAAAGCTCTGTTTCCATATTTCATTTGCACAGTTTATATATGAAGAACTTGGTGCATTTAAATAAACTTAATCAGTTTTAAATTGTGATTTCACTTCTTGAAACACACTTCATCATAATAATTGTTGTCTTGGTTCTTGGGATCTGTGCAGTCAACAGCCTCAGAGACCAGCTGGATGACATGAAGAAGCGAAACCAAAACTCTCACATTTCCAATGAGAAGAACATTCACCTCCAGAAACAGGTCTGTTACCTACCTTGATGTATGTTTGGTTGGGGGGGTGGTCAGCATGGACGATGAGCTCTGTGACATCAGATTACAAGCATATAACATAAAAAGCCTTGAATAGACGTAAAACCAAATACATTAACAGTCACAACAGCTGAAAGTAAAAGCTAATATTTGATGTCCAGCCAGACTGAAAAGATCACTGTGATCTTGTCAAGTCACCTTGTTGGACTCTGAGTCCTTTAAAGGGAAAATATTGGTGTGATTTGTGTACGTGTTCTTCTCTTAGTTGGAAGAAGCCAACACGTTGTTGCGGGCCGAGACGGAGGCGGCGACGAGGCTCCGCAAAGCCCAAACTGAGAGCAGCAAGCAGCTGCAGCAGCTGGAGGCCAACGTGCGCGAGCTGCAGGACAAATGCTGCCTGCTGGAGCGCAGCAAGCTGAGTCTGGAGAAGGAATGCATCAGCCTGCAGGCTGCGCTAGAGACGGAAAGGAGGGAGCACAGCCAGGGCTCGGAAACCATCACTGACCTGATGGGTGGGTGAAACAGCACATGAAGATTTCTTTGTCAAGTCTGCAAACAGTTGTCATTTATGTGCATTATTTGAATTAATAAAAGTGATACCAGGAATATTACATGTTGTATATTAAATGTTGTATTCATCGGTGTATCTAAACAGATCTTACAGAATGGTGTTTGTAAAAAGTGAAACCCACTTCTTTACAAACCTATAAAATACTAAACCAATTAATATGGAGTTGGAGCATCCTCAGTTTAGCAGTTTTACATGGAGCACCAAAATGTCTTGTATTAGTTTTTCGCTCATGCTCCACCAAATTTGACAAAATTCGTCTCGCTATCAGAAAAAGAAACTGCACCTCTGTTCTTGGTTCTCACCTTAGCATAAAGAAAACCAAAAGAATAGATTTGTGCAGAATTTCAGGTTGGATGTCAGTATAAGTCATAATTCTAGGCACATCTGTAGCTGCTGATATGTTTACCTGTATTTTTATGAGGTGGAAATGTAATTACATTCCTCTGAAAGAAGTTCAGTTTCTGTTTTCCTCCTGCTTGCCTTGGAGCTTATATGGCAGGTTTAATAAAGGGGCAGCTAGATGAGGAACAACAATGTGCCACCCAAATGCTGAGGGCAGTCAAGAGGCTTTTCAGGACTAAATAACTCTGTGCTGTTTGCTGAATGGATTCTGACTCCAGTTCAGTCACACTGTGTGTGTTTGAGAAAGGCTGATGTGAATTAGTAAAAATAAGTTTGTCCAGAGGTGTCAGATAAAACCTTGAACAAATATAGCTGATGTTTTGGAGACAGAAGGGTCAAAGCGGCCTGTTTGCTCCAGTGCGCCTGGACAGTTTGTAATATTTGTGTAACTGTAGGGAGTGTGCTTACATAAAGGCTAACAATTCACCCATAATCTGATAAAAGCAGCTCTCGGGCTACTTAAGCTGTCACATAAAACCTCTTATCTGACTGTGTTAATTAGGACGTGGGCATCACAAACCATGAGTTCTGCCTTATGAATGTTTGTAGGTCTTCGGATGCAGTGACTTGAGTGTTGCATTTACAAATAAAACACAGCACAGTATAATGAGCTGCTTCCTCTAGTTGGTCCAAGAGCTGAAATTCATTTGAACTATGTAAATATTTATATTAATATAAATATTGCCCTCCGTTGCTTACTACAAGTAACTGGGGGATGTATATGTGTGTATAAATAACCCATTGTGGCACTGTTGGAACAACTAAACATACACTCTTGGTAGTTGCCCTGAACTGCCCCGAGCTTGCTGACCAGAGTCATTATATGAACAACAGGCAAGTAACTTGTATATGTAAAGCACATTTAAATCAGAGGGAGTGCTTTTTAGTTGAGGTCAGGGGATTAACAATGCTAGTTTACAAGTAAACCTGGAATAAACAAACCAGACCTAAATTAGAAACTCAAAACATGAAAATAAATATGCAAATTAAAGGACAAATAATAAAATAATAGTAACTAAAATTGAAATTACAATAGAAACAGCAGACGGACCTCAGACTGAGCTTTAATGAGGGGATAAAATTGACGTTAAGAAAGATTAAAGGACTTACGTATACAAGTTGAGACAGGAACAATGTATTGAAAATGGAAATAAAGATTCTTGACGACTGTGTAAGTTTATAGGCTTTAGGGTCCTTAGGGACCAAGTACAGCGCTATACAAATACAGGCCATTTACCATTTGCCATAGTTTGCTGTTGGGTTAAGCTTTATGTGATCTGTACGTGAAATGTAACTCTGAGGATTCTCGCGGGCTTATCTTGCAGGACGCATTTCTGGCCTGGAAGAGGAGGCCCGTCAGCAGAAACAGGCTTTATCCAAAGCTGAGACTGAGAAGAGGCAGCTTCAAGAGAAACTCACTGATCTGGAGAAGGTAAATCACAAAATCCTGACTGGAAACATTTTTTGCTTTGAGATGCAGTTCCTGGAAATTTGACTTGAGCCTCACGTGTGATCCAAATTAAGTAAAAGTTATGTTAAAAGTAGTATCATAGTGTTTCTTGGAAACATCTGCATCTGGATTTGAGGACAGCATGATTGGACTGTTTGTTCCAGGTCATTTGACATCAGTGAGAAATTATTATTTTATTAAAGCAATCGGGAAAGTCTTTTGTTTTGATTAAAGTGACAAATAATTGATTTACAGCAGCTATTTTCAAACTCAGGCCCACTCTAGGCCAAATAATTATTTTAAAAGACTGCCAAACCTTTAATCACAACTCCAGTCGACATGGGAAGATTAATACAAAGTATTTGCTTTGTTTTGTTTTCATAGATTAATATTAAAAATTGCATAACTGCCTGCTTTTTGACTTTAAAATATCTTAGAGAAATGGAGAAGAAAGGCCTAATTTATTGCAGCACTGTAACTGACCTGTTTCAGAAACTGTGTACTTATTGATTTACTGAGTATTTCTAACTGCACTTCCTTAGAATATACATATAAATGTGAACCACCATGTAGTGACACGACTTTCTGGGCTTGGTCTCAAAGCGTTTGGTGTGAAATTTTCTGACTAGATTTTACTCTGGATGTGACATCTCTGTGTGTGTGTTTTCTACAGGAGAAGAGCAACAAGGAGATCGATTTGACCTACAAGCTGAAGGTGCTGCAGCAGGAGCTGGAACAGGAGGAGGCCTCTCATAAGGCCACCAGAGCAATGCAGGCAGACAAGAGCAAGATCAAGGTCACCATCGAGGGCGCCAAGTCAGAGTCCATGAAGGGTAAGGGCTCTGATCTTTTGTTTCCACAAGGTTGTTCTTTCACAGTTTGTACCGAGTTCAGGGTTCGAGCTATATAATTTGGGGCTGATCGACAGCTCTGAGTTCACAGATTGCAACAAGATGTACAGAATGAGAAATTTTATTGATTTAACTTTTCAGAAGGGAAATTAAATAATATAAGTGAATAACTCTCATTCAGAGTTGGAGCAGAAGCTGGCAGAGGAGCGAGCTGCCAAACTGCGGCTGGAGAACAGAATACTAGAGCTGGAGAAGCAGAGCAGCATGATGGACTGTGACAACAAACAGGCCCTGCAGAAGCTAGACGAGCTGCGCAGACACAAGGATCACCTTACTGAGGAGGTGAGCATTTCTGTTCTGCACAGGAGACCAGTGAAGTTTGGGTTTAGCTGTCAAATGTCACCAACAGGAGCTACTTCAGCAGCTAATGTAAAGAGTGTCATATCTGAAATTGGATAGAAGGATAATGAAAAAAGAGCTGATGCGAGTAAAAAACTTTTATTAAATTCATTTTTTCCTTTCAGGTGAAGAACCTGACACTGAAGATCGAGCAGGAGACCCAGAAGCGTAACCTGACTCAGAACGACCTGAAGGCTCAAAACCAGCAGCTCAGTGCTCTGAAAACCTCCGAGAAGCAGCTCAAGCAGGAAACTAATCACCTGCTGGATATTAAGCGCAGCTTGGAGAAGCAGAACCAGGAGCTGCGCAAGTACGTTTCATTTTGTTGTAACACTTTCCCAGCAGGCACACTGCAGGCTCCTTATGCGGTCAAATTATGAATCATCGACTCATTTTTCTTTTCACAGAGAAAGACAGGACACAGATGGACAAATGAAGGAGTTACAAGACCAGTTAGAGGCTGAGCAGTATTTCTCAGTAAGTCTGATATCTGATCACAGATGTGGATGGAAAATGAAGACACTTTCATTTGGCATTTTAGGCTTTTTATAGTTTCATTCATCTGACTGAGCGTCAAAAACTGCTGATTGATTTGCTACTGAATAGTCCCCTCTCTCCTTCTGGCTAAACAGCTTTTCCCTGCTGTGTCCACGTTGTGTTTCACTCCTTTCAGCCTGATCAGGGCGCTGCTGTGGCAGTTTTTAAAATATTCAGCTGCCTGTGAGTCAGAGACTCATTCCAACTCTGCTGCCTATAACTGCAGGTGCTCTGAATTGTTTAGCGCTACAGTTGAAGTCCAAGCTGGAGCTTAACTCATTGTAAAGGCAACTCACTAAATGTTTCAGTTGTGTGTAGGGGTCTAGCAATTCTTACGTCCACAATATAGAGGTGCTTTGATATTTATAGAGTAGAGCTACAGGGGCTGCTCCAGACTATACTGTCAAATAACAGTCAGCTATATTACACTGGAGTGACATCTTCCCATATTGTAATGCATTGCTGTTATTTCCTAGTTCAAGCGTAATAATCCAGTAATGTTTAAAGTTGATATAGGATAACAAGTAATGTATTTTCCATAATGCACTTAGAAAATAAAGTAAATAAACTGTAGCACAAATAGTCTTATTCTATGGGAACGTAGGCTGTTAAAATCAGAGGGTTCCTTTTATTTCTGTAGCTAATGTATGTTATGCATTTCCAAGAGCTGAATGATGGTGAAGTCTTCAATGGGCATCCATTAGCTAATGTTTTTGTACAATGTCAACAGTATGTATCAAAGTGTGTATGCAACATGAAGCCTGAGTGATTCTTTCCTTTACCATGTTCATTATCAGTCAGGAGGAGCAGCTTGTTGTTAGGAAACTTTCTCACCTCTCTGGCCCTCCCATTGGAGATTTCTGCATTAAAGAGTTATCTAGAGTTTTGTTGTTGATGTATTAAGTATGGGCCGTATTTGACCTGTTACCTTTTCTCCAGACTCTCTATAAGACCCAGGTTCGTGAGCTGAAGGAGGAATGTGAGGAGAGGAACAAACTCTACAAAGAAGTGCAGCAGTCTCTGCAGGAGCTGCAGGAGGAGAGGTGAGAGGTTTTTCAGTTTGAAGATATAATTTGAAATAAATTCATCCACTTTAATCTTCAAAAAATGATTAGCAGAAAAACGGTGATGATGAATGTAAGGCTCGGTTCATTTATCTCCAATAAGAGACTCGTGTGGTTTGTGTGGTGGGTTGCTCAGGCTTGCGTTTCTTTTTATTCCTCTCAGGGACTCTTTGGCAGCACAGCTGGAGATCACTCTGACAAAGGCTGACTCGGAGCAGCTGGCGCGCTCCATCGCTGAGGAGCAGTACTCCGACCTCGAGAAGGAGAAGATAATGAAGGAGCTGGAGCTGAAGGAGATGATGGCTCGCCATCGCCAGGAGCTCTCCGAGAAGGACATCACCATCAGCTCTGTGAGTTTTTGAGTTTGCGTGAAATGAAGACGATCGAGTTGAGGTGAAAGTCTTTGTATCGTTAGACGTTTAAAGGCTGTTAAATAGAATAACTCACCACAGTCCTGGAAGTATCACGACGTGTAAATGCAGTGCATCTCAAGCCCAATAAATATGCTCTGAAAATAGTGTGAGATTAGGTTGAGTTTATAGTTCCACAAAAGAGCAGATATGAAAGTATTTGCTGTCCATTGCAGCTGGAAGAAGCTAATAGGACCCTGACGAGTGATGTCGCCAATCTGGCCAATGAGAAGGAGGAACTGAACAACAAACTGAAGGAGGCAATAGAGGGTAATTAGAACATTTAAATGTTTATTACAAGAATTATATATTTTGGTGTGGGTACATAATTTTTTTTTTGTTCTCTTCAGAAACTGAGAAGTCGAAGGACTGGGAGCAGCAGATAAGCCAGATGAAGCAGGCATTTGAGAAGCAGCTGCAGTGCGAGAGGACGCTAAAAACCCAGGTTGGTGTTTTTAAAGCAATAACTCACAAGATGAAGAGACAGACTTTCAAGACTAATCCTCCCCTTCATGGGCAAAATTTAAATTTTTTCCCATCATTTTTCTTAAGTTAAGATTGAATCTTATCCCCATCCGCAGGCCGTCAATAAGCTGGCAGAGATCATGAACAGGAAGGAAGTGCGTGGCGGAGGCAGCCGCCGTGGTAACGACACAGACATGCGGCGAAAGGAGAAGGAGAACAGGAAGCTGCAGCTTGAGCTCAGGTCAGAGAAGGAAAAGCTGAACAGCACCATCATCAAATATCAGAAGGAGATCAACGAAATGCAAGCAGTAAGTGAACAGCTGAGTTTTCTTTCCCTTGCAGTGAAACGACACTCTGCTGCTGTATCTCTGACTACGACACTTACAATATGTTATTTCTTCTCATTTTAATCTATAGCAACTGGCGGATGAGAGCCAGATGCGCATTGAGATGCAGATGGCTCTGGACAGTAAGGACAGTGACATTGAGCAGCTGAGAAATCTCCTGCAGACGCTCAGTGTTCAGTCGATGGACTCCGCCAGCGTCAGCAGCGGGCCCGAGTTTGATGCTGATGATGCGTACACAGGTAAGAGCTCAGCCACTAAACAAAGTATTTCTGACAGTTTGTCTTCACCACAGCTTTAAGGTTTAAGGTCACTTACAAACATCTTCTTGTACAATGTTTACGTTCACTGGCTACGTCACAAAGTGCACCTGCTAAACTATGCCTTTAATCAGACAATCACAAGGCAACAGCTAAGTGCACTGAGGTATGTAGACACGGTTAAGACAACCTGCTGAAGTTCAAATGGAGCATCGGAAGAAAGGTCATTTGAGTGACGTGGCGTGGTTGTTGGTTCCAGGTCTGCGTATTTCAGAAACTGTTGTTCTACTGGACTTTTCCCACACAAACATCTGGAAAAGAGAAAACATGCATTGTTTGTCCCTGTGTGAAAATGCCAGGTCAGAGTAATGGAATAACCCTAATTTCCGAAAGTTTCAGAAGAAAGACGCTATAATTCAGCTCAAATTAAGTACTTTCAATCCCAATACAGTCATTTTATCATTAGTGTGTTATGCACAGATTAATGACGATTGGTGATTTGATCCCTGGCTGCTCCAGCGCGCATGCCAAAGCATCCTTTGGCAAGATTCTGAACCCTGAGTTGTTCTCGAATACTTTCATCAGAGTGTGAATGTGTGTGGAGGTTGGATGCAAATCACTTAGATGTAGAATAAAGAGAATGGGGGAATGAGGCGTGTTATATAAAGTGCTTAAATGCTCAAGTAGAGCATTTTTATAAAGGTGCATAATATCTGACTAGAATATTTCACTTTAATGTGATGTGATTTTGTTGATTTCTTCAAACCAAACCATAATGATCTAAATTCTCTTTCTGCCCTCAGAAATGAGGCTCGAGGGCTGGCTGTCTCTCCCCGTCAGAAACAATACCAAGAAGTTTGGATGGGAGAGAAAGGTAGGACTAAACCATTGAGACTGCTTTGACCCTGCAAAACAGCATGTGACCTTTTTTCTTACCACCTCTGTCCTGTCAATGCAGTACGTTGTAGTAAGCAGCAAGAAGATTCTTTTCTACAACAGCGAGCAAGACAAAGAGCAGTCCATCCCCAACATGGTGCTCGATATAGAGTGAGTATGACACCTGAAGGCACCTCTGCAAAGAAAACAGCTCAGTTTGTATTAACACGTTCTATGCTTTAAACAGAAAATAACACTCCTTTCTGTCACACAGTAAACTCTTCCATGTGAGACCTGTTACTCAGACAGATGTGTATCGAGCTGACTCCAAAGAAATTCCCAGGATATTCCAGGTCTGCCCTAGCTCTACTGAAAATGTTCTATTTCTTTGAGCATGTTGATTGTTTAAAGAGTTGTTGAAGGCTGAAAAAGTTAGATATGTCCTCTTTCCGCTCTCCAGATTCTTTATGCCAATGAAGGTGAAAGCAAAAAGGAGCCAGAGTTTCCCGTGGAGCCGCATCCCATTGGAGAAAAGTCCAATTACGTCTGCCACAAAGGCCACGAGTTCATTCCCACCCTCTACCACTTCCCCACCAACTGTGAGGCCTGCACAAAGCCACTGTGGAACATGTTCAAGCCGCCCCCTGCTCTGGAGTGCCGGCGCTGCCACATCAAGTGCCACAAGGACCACATGGACAAGAAGGAGGAGATCATCGCCCCCTGTAAAGGTAGGACGCTCCTGTTGTTTCTATGAAAGCTGTGTTTCGATCTTACTTGCAATTGGTGGGTTTTTAAATGTTTGTGAATTGGAGTGTTACTGAACATTTCTCTTCTCTTCTACCACCAGTGAACTACGACATTTCTACAGCCAAGAACCTGCTCCTGCTCGCCGTGTCCCAGGAGGAGCAGCAGAAGTGGGTGAGCCGGTTGGTCAAGAAGATTCCCAAAAAGCCTCCACACCCAGAACAGTTCGCACGCTCCTCACCGCGGACCTCCATGAAGGTTCAGCCCAGCCAGTCCATGAGGAGGCCCAGTCGACAGCTCCCCACCAGCAAGAGCAGGTAGACTAAAAAGCTGATTTTATGTAATAGACACCTATAGGTGTGATTTTGGATTCATCTATGTGAGCTACGACAGTTAAAGTGGTGTGCAGGAGGTAAACAAATAACAGTTTATGGATCTCCAGGCTAGATTTCTAATGATTTGAGGTACATACAGTGTGAGTGGAGTGACCTATATAATGAAGGCTGACTAAAAAGCCTCAAAACTGAAATTTTTGTGTATTTGATTAACATACTACATCCAGAAAGTTTAATATTTATTTATAGTATTTAGTATATATTCTGCATTTTGAGTGTTGTGTGTAGGGCTGCTCGATTATGGCAAAAATGATAATCACGATTATTTTCACTGAAATTGAGATCTCGATTATTTGACGATATTTATTTAACCCTTTAAGACCTACCATAGAACCAAGTCCGCCAGAGCTTATATTATTTTTTTTACGTGCTGTAGTGCCATTTTTGGGAGCATTTCAAATTGTTATACATCAATACAACTGTTATAGCCCATATTTTAATAATATGTATGCATTAAGTCCATAGTAACTACATTAATTGCAAAAAAGTGCAATAAACTACAAAAAAAATTGAAAATCGTTTTTGTTTTTTTTACATATATTTCTACTTGGGGAAATTTAAGAGGCTTATCCCTCAAAACCTTAAATACAAAAAAGTTGCAAAAAATAGTTTCCCACCACAGGAAATTTATTTTGAGTGTCTTCATAGTTTTATTTTGGAGATACAGCAATTTTTATATACTGCAGGAAAAACAAAAACAATCCTATGATGCAAATTTGCAAAGAAAACAGCAGGTGCATCAAAATAAACTATTTCCAGCAGTGCAGTTCGAGTTCTAAGCATCCCAGAAACTATTCAGAAAAGTATAGAGTCAAACATGACTTATAAAAACACCAGTTTAGGCTTTTAAGGCCTACAAGTAAAAAAAAACAACTACATTTTCCGTGAAAATGACATCACTTCCTGTTTCGGGCAGGAAATGGCGGACATGCGATAGTTCGCGCTGACGTCTGTTTCACTGTGGGAAGTGTTACGAACAGCTGATCGGATCAGCAAAGGTGTTTCTGGAATATTATGTTTTTGTTGCTGCAAGCGCTTTTTATGCAATTTTTGCAAAGCTTTATGTGGAAGGAAACCGTGACCGAGGACAAGCTGATGGCATAAGATGTAAGTTTCATATGCAAAACAAATTATTGCGCTAGCTTACATGGTTCAGGTTCTACAGGGATTTAAAAATAGTTACACAAAACGAAGCGTGCTGCTCTGACCGGATTTAAAGGGTTAACAATAACAATGTATTGAATAATGACTTTAAAAAATAATATAAAATAGTGTGCAAATACTGATAACTGTGCAAATGTTTGCAATATAAAAAAAATAAATGAAAAATGTAAACATCTATGTTTAGTGAACTTTAGTGTTGCTCTGTGGTGCAGCAATGACACCGTAGCAAAGTTTACACATTATGTCTACTTGATCCACGTCTGACTCCGCGAACCCATAATGTTTCCACACCACTGAAGTTTTTTTTACCTCTCTTTTCAACCAACGGCAGTCACTCTCCTCTCCAAATAACTTCTGCTTAGCTTTCCGAGCTTCCCTCGGGTCCTCTTAGTTGTTGTGATGCGTGTTCGAAATGCAGAGAGGTGTGCTGGATTTGCCACACGGAGCAGTGCGAGAGTAAAGCACGAGGGAGGGGCTAATAATCGGCTCAGTCATTTTTAATGATCGTTAAAAGCCCAGATCGTAATCGTGATTAAAATTCGATTAATTGAGCAGCCCTAGTTATGTGTCACAATTAATATGACTGTTTCTCCATAATGGCCTGCTGACTGACCAGAAAAAAAACCTTTAGGCAACTCTTGCTTTAAAATCACTGACTGAAAGTCCCGTTCTGACCACTTATAATAAAGTGCCTTCAGTGCACTCTACATCTCATCCACTCTTGTCAAAACAGCACATCATGTGCACAGGCTACAAATGCAACTTCAACAAGCAATCTTAAAAAAGCGACTGATGATCTTTAAGGAGAAAAATTAGCGTATTGATTATTCAGCTTTGGTAAGAACTCTTTTTAAGGTGTATTGAGGTGTTAACCTGTGAAGCTTTGTTCTTTATGTACAATGTGTGTCCTGCAGAAGTTGAGGAACTGTTGTCACTGTCTGTCCTGGTCCAGTCCAGTTCTATGTCTCAGGATTTGCCCTCATACAACCCCACAGAACAGACTTGAGTTGTGTGCAGTAACGATTACACGGCCATGAAAACTAATCTCCCCTTTCAGATTGGAGGACTCCAGTCTCCAGGACTGGCACTGGGCGTTGGATGATATAGATGATGACTGTTCCTCTATACATTTCTGATGACCACATTTGGTAACACTGTGTGCAATGTGTGCTGTGCAGTGCCTGTCATTTAAAAAAACCTTAAAAATGTCTGACCTCAGCCCTCGCAGGTCAAATGGCTTCAAAATAAAGCGAGAAGATTCCAGCAGTACCTGGTACAAATGACAGCTCCTTCCTTCTCCTCCTCCTCCTTGTTCTTCTTTTGACCAGATGTTTCCCTGTAAACATCTCAACTTCTCAGTGTGTGGATGTTTGTTTGTTTTGGGTGTCACTGAGGTGGTGCAGGTGGTGAATATACTCTGTATTATGGACCTTGAGCCACGTAGTTTGGGTGGATTTGCTCTTCTAAGAGTTGGGATCACTTGGGCACTGGGTGTTTTGAACTGGACAAAAATAAATTCAGAAGAATAAGTTCTCAGGTTTGTCTGAAGTTGCCCTTTCTCACACAAAAAGAGATAAGACATGACTTTTTCTCACGGCTGAAGAAATTCAAGTTTTAGCGAGGCAGCACTCGGCTGCAAATCGCTTGAACAATTCGCTGCTGTATTCCCGCGCAGACTTTAGATTATTTAATGTTGATCTGTCCTCAGACTGTGAATAAAATATGATGACCTGAGAAGCGAAGCCAATCTTGGAACCACATCAGCTAGTCTTCCGATTTGGCCTCTTGGGATTTTGGACAATTTGTTGGGATGTCTGGTTTAGTTAGAAGAAATCCAAGCCAAGATTTTTCATTTCTCATGTTCCAGGCAGTGTCTACAAATGCAGATAAACTGGAATGAACTGAAATTAATTTGGAGCAAACTTCTTTTGCTCTCCACACAGGCTGTGCAGTGGACGACAGTAAGAAACCAAAAGGTTTTCAGGACCAAAATCATGCAGATGCTCTTCGTAGAAATTAATTCAGAATTGACTTGCCGTCTGTCTCATGGCCAGCAGAGAAAATTACTAAGGCTCACGCGAACACCTCAATCAGCACTTTTTTTTTGGGTGAACTTATGGATCAAATCAGTGGTTTCATTTATTACAGCATGTTCTCAATTTAGTTAAATATACTGGTTTAGGGTAAGACCATCTTGTGACTGACAGTTCGTCACAGGATGAGTGTGGAGTGTCGTCACCCTTAAATCATAAAATGTATAAGGAAAATAATAATTAAAAAAAACAAGATGGCTATGGCTGAAATGTTCTGCTCGGTGGCCATTTCCATCTTTTATATACAGTCTGTGGACATAGGACTTGCTTAAAATCCAAATTAGGATCATTGTATATCTTGGTAGGACTAATGCATGCTTAGCCAGTTTGTTTACTACAAAGACTTTTAAATCATTTGAGTTTTTTGCTGAGATAAAATAAATGTAGGGTAACGATTAAAAATGCAGCTTCTTACATTCGGTCTGAAAATCAGCCAGGTCCTTGATTTGGTAATTGTATGAAATAATGCCTTCGCTGTTCCATTCAAATCACAGCCCAATCTTTTAATCTTCCTGACATCTCGCTGCATATTTGCGGAGATTAACTTGCATCTGTTTCTCTCTCTCTCCCTCCAGTTAACCTTGCCCGGGAGTGTGGTGCATCGACGAGGTGGTGGGAAGAGTTTCTTCCTAAATCAAAGACTCTATACAAAGCTCCGTTTGCAGATCAGCACACTGGACTGGTTTCTCCACTGCCCACTCCACCCTGTCCCGTTTCAGCCTGCGAGAGTTACCAAGTCTGGCATTTTCCATTTTTATTCAGCTTGTTTCCAAGCCACTTAGCAAGCTCACCTCAGCATCTGTCGTCTTTACAGCAAGCTGGGCGTCTCATAAACATATAACCCAAGTCCTCTCCTGGGTCCTTGGCGAGAGCACTTGTGCAGCTCTTGGATGCTGGAGTAGCTTGTTCGGCTCCCACACAATGGAGGATAGCTCTTATGAGCCTGACCAAGGCTGACAAGAACAGGGGAACACTTACCTTAACAGTTCTCTCCAGGACAGACAGTTCTCTGTCTGATTGAAGCAGCCAGCAGGAAACCACCTCCACACCACCTTTGAGGATTCTCATGGCCAAAAGAAAAAAAAGACAATCTTGTGTTTAATGATTGTGAACAATATGAAGGGTTTAATGGGGGAACACTACACTCAGAAGAGTCTGTATTTTTGTTGGCTTATGGTGTCTGTACTTTCAAACTCTTTAACATGATTGTAGCTTCTTGCTTTTCACAGCTCTGCTTTCAGGTGCGTGTCCATGGGGAATCTTGAATAAGGTACTTAGGAACCAAATGAGCTGTGACTTCATGGAAAGTCATTAAGGCAGCAAATGAAGCCCAGCTTCCTCTCGGATATGAGCAAATAATTCTCAGAGTGCCTCTTATTCAGATTTCTGACTCATGCACACGCTGAATCATGGGTTTGATGTCAAACGACTACAAAGGGAACAGAATCCTGCTTGAAATGGCATTAGATTAAGACATGAAGTCCTCACGATCCCATAATCTCTGCAAACCTGCACTGTCAGTTCTGAGGGTTAATGTTTACTGAATTCAAAGGGGTGCACCGTTAATGCTTTCTGATCCGAGCTCGGCTCCTTCTGTTGTTTTTGAATGTACATCTGGGCTTCACCAGAGACGACACACAGGCATTGTATTATCCAAGTATACTTGACTGAAGCCGCGCCTTTCATCACAAACTACTCTGAGTGAACTTGCATGCGTTTGCTTTTTCACCCACATGCCTAGTCATTTTTAGTCAGTACCAAAAGTGAAAATGAGGGAAGTTAACCAATAAGAAGCCGAAATAATGAAGGTATCCAATCATATCCTGAACCCATGAGTGGAAATACTGAGCAGCACTATTCCATTGAAGTTTTTTCTAAAAGTGTTTGTCCTTATTTTTGTATTAAAGGAAACCAAACTCTGAGTTTGGGCACATTGTCGTATGTATGTGACTTAGTTAGCAGGTGGAGAGTAAACTGAGTGTGTGTGTGTGTGTGTGTGTGTGTGTGTGTGTGTGTGTGTGCGCACTCTCCTTTAACCAAGAAGCATGTTTTATACATATAAATATACACAGTATATATTTTACATGCCATACAGTGCACATTATATTATTTATACAGCTTTGTCCACTTTGTATTTAAGGGTTCTACATCCAGATTGCATGTTTGCTATCAAACAGCTCTATGATAATAACCACTTCAACAATAAAGACATGGATGTGCCTTCTGGTTTTGGATCGTTTTTCTGTTTTAAAAATGTTAGACGTTGTCATTCTGCAGAGGTGTACAACTATGGTGAACCAAAAGTGCCAAAATAAAAATGTGCCACAAAAAATATTAAATAGTAAGCAGTTTTGTATAATAAATATAAATTGTGACAAATTGATATTTTTGATTTTATTCCACTGTTTTTTTTTTTTGTTTTTTTTTTAGGCATATGGAATCCTCCGTATTCTGATATTGAGTCCAACACAAGCTGTCAGTCATACTCAAACTACTGAAACACGAAAGAGAAACACATTAAATAATACCGAAATCTAAAAAAGAAAATTCTTGGCCTTCAGACAATAATTCTGAGTGCTACAGTGACGGACTGGACAGGCAAAAAGAAAATTCTTTGTGGCCGAGCTGTCATTCCCAATCACTTCTGCTTTGTCATGACGCCACTAACTGGAAATTTAGTAACAAGGAAGTTTCACATCTGGACTTGTTCCACAGGTGGCATCCTGTCAAGGTACCACACCTAGGTACTTGATTTTATACACATGTAGAAGTGATAGGAACACCTGGATTCAATGATTTGGATGGCTGAGTGAATACTTTTGGCAGTAAGAAACAATTTTAAATGGCTCTATAAAGTATTATCACTTTAACCTTCCGATTACACTATTTTTCTTGAAGGATATGTCAGAGGTCAAATTTGATACTTTAAATCTTTACACAGTACTTTCTATAAGTTGCAAAAATGACCACGGTAATAAGAATCATAAGTTCTAAGGGTTTTGTTTTTTTTTTTAATCAGTTTTCTAACAATGAAGCACTGAGTTGACCTCGGTGAGTATAGGCCAAATTTCAATGGATTAACATGACACCAGTGACCTGGTTCCTTACATTCTCGTACCATGACAGCTCCTCTGTTCTTTCTCTTTTAAATGAGACATTGAGTCTCAATGTCCAACTGACTACCTGCATAAATGAAGGTTAAATCAAATCAAATCTGTCCAAATATTTTTTTCAGAACTCTGCAGGTTCTTGTAGATGTTATCCCCTAATGTTTACGCTGGCCTTTTGATTAAGTGTCGCTGAGCTGGCAAGTTGGTTCATTTTCCTTGTGTCTCTGGTTTAATTTGGTGTATCTGGGAAATGATGGCCTCCACTCATCTTTTACTGACGCGCAATATAAATATTATATATACATATATATCCCCTGCAAGTTTAACAGTTGCAATCAACTCCAGGTGTTTTATCCTCTTAATCTGTCATGGAATAATGAGGGAACAAGTCTCACCTGGGCATGGAACTGCTCGTTAGCTAGCTGTCCAATTAATTTTGAGCCTCTGAGAGGACTTTGAATACAAATGGCCTGAATACCAAACAGTCTCTGCAATACTTTTGTTAAACCATATTGATTAAAACTGAAAGTCTGCACTTCAGTCAAATCCTGTTTGATTTGAAATCCACCGTGGTGGTGTCGCAATCACAAGAACTGTGTCTTTGTCCAGAAACATGGTGAGTTACAATAAAGCAAATTAAATCACATCAATCTGAGATTGAATTTGTGGCATATTTCATGCAATGTTTTGTTTTGAATTTTGGCAGTGTTGAGCTCCCATACTCAACTTTTTATTTTAAATTAAATGACCTCACTGTAAAAAGGTAGAATTTGGTTTATTGAAACAGTTCAGAAAATAACTTTACATATACAAAAGCTTTTCCAAAACAAGTTACCCGGAATAGGATCGTTTCACATATACGTGGGGTCGTGTCTAACAATAGATTTTTTTTTTTTTCACAGACTGTATGGCAAAGCATTGGTCTCTCTTCCTATCAACAGATTTTTACAAACTGGAATGTTATTCAAACAAATGTGTGGCTTTAACAGGGAAGACAGACTATATAAAAATCATCTCTCTGCTGATAGACCTCTTGTTACCCGTCAGTTTCATTTTACAGTATTGGTTGTGCCTAAAGTGACCCAGTCGTCTTTGATCTGCAGAATCCAGTGTTAAACACTTAGTCTTTCTTCTTGGAGCTGCTGCCGCGTCTCTGATAGTGGAGCACAGTGAGCAACACCCACAGGTTCAGCAGGGTCATCGCTATGAACCGCACCAGAACTGTTGCAAAGAGAAAAGATGATCAGAAACATGGAAGCTGACAGCGACGTCTCTGAATCACACAAGGACAGCAGAGCTGGAGTTACAAATGGTGACTACTCGGAGATACTCCAGGTAAAAGATGCCTGAAATCCTTTGGTCTTATAAGAAACTGCAGGTTTCCGGTGATGTGTAAATGTGTATGACAGTCCTGTTACTGACGTTCATTATTGTAAAGAAGCAGCCCTTTAGACCTGCCAGTTCAATTAATTATGACTGAAAGTTAGCCATTAATACTAACCAGACTCCGGTTCTCCTCCAAAATGGAAATAATTGAATCATTTGCCTCACCCTATCCTTAGCATCCTCCTTGTGTCCTCCACTACATCCCCAAACCTTCTGTGTGGTCTTCCTTTTTCCCTCCTGCCTGGCAGCTCCACATTCAAAATCCTTTGTATAGTACATCCACAATCTCTGCTCTGCACACGTCCAAACCATCTCTCCCTGATATTCTCATTTCTAATCCTGTCCATTCTGGTCTCTGCCAATGAAAATCTTACCATCTCCACCTCCTGTCTTTTTGTCAGTGCCACCATCTTCAAACCATACATCATAGGAGGTCTCACTAATGCTTTGTAAACCCCACTTTTACTCTTGCTGAAATATAGAAGTATGATGCATTACTGATAGATTACTGAACGGGCCCGGGTGGCCTCATCCGCACTAACGTCCCTTTTTGTTTTAAAGCAGTCTAATCTAAACGAATTCGACCGCTAAGTATAAAACAAAGTCACTATTCACTTCCTTGTGGTTTTTATTTATTTAGGATATTTCCCAGAGAAGAGCACAAAAAAATGCTCGTTTTAAATCTACGATGGTTATTTAGAAAACAAATCATTTTCCCTTGAAGTGTTCATTAAAAATTCTGGGATGCAACACCTCCCACAGTCATTAGTAATTCAGACAGACTTACCCTGCACGTCTCCAGTTGTCACTGTGGTGGTGTAAATCCGAGCTGAAACAAAGAGGAAGCAGAGTTAATGACATCCCTGTTACCCGACAGAGCGTCTGATCATTCATTAATGAAGCGTTGGATTGCTCATTTATTAAATTGGGGGCTGAATAAACACTACCGTGCATATTCATGAAATGAAAGAGTAGACTTGTTACTTTAGGGAGGGGGATTTATGTGAACTGATAAAAGTGCTTAACAGGATTCAGTTTGACAGCGATAGGACTGCAGTATGAAAAGTAGCAACAGTATCCTTGGCACGTTTTCATGCTGCAGTTTGTTACAATTTCTGATAATCACACCGTATTTGCTTTTTTTATTTTTTTTTTTT